GTTGTCTGGTAATGTAGTAATGTAGTCTGTTAATTCTATGTAATTAAGTACAAATTGTATGAGTTTGTCCGGGCATGTTGATATGTTTGTTTATGAGTTTGTTTATGCACGTATATTCCTCTGAATGTTTGTGTGTGTGTGTGTGTGTGTGTGTGTGTTTGTATACTGTATGAATGTGGCTGTATAATATGTTAGCGTAAGTGAGTGTTGTTCGTGTTTGTATATCTTGATATTTGTGTGAATGTAATGGCTTTCAAACAGGTGTGTATGGAGTGTGTGCGCGTGTATATGTGTGTGGGCATGTTAAACGTGTGTGTGGTGTGTTTGTTCTTTGTTTGTGTGTGTATGTGTGTGTACAATTAGATTTATTTCAGCATGTTGGGACAATGATTTGATTATGTTATGATGGATGTCTGCCTCCTCAGATGACAACTTCTTCCCTTTATTTTTTTTTCTTTCAAAAATTATGAACAAAATTTGTGTCTCATATTTTTGTTTTAATTTTTTTTGTTTTTTTTAATTTTTTCATAATTTCCTTACAAAATGTAAATTGAGTAATTGCTGTAATTGTTGTAAATGGTTGTAAACTGGTTACAAACGTTTACAAAACTTTACAACGTTATGCACTCCAAAGTCCAACTCTAATGTAAAAAAATGAAATTAAAAAATGGAAGGATGCAGACATTTTAAACTCAGCCGCCGCTGCTGAAGAAGTGAAATTGATGGAGCCAAAGATAACAATATATAACATTGCCATTCAATTGTGTGGCAGTCAACAGGCTAAATGTACGTCACAGTCAGTGAAGTTCTAAGTTATCTATCATACCAGACTTGAATGATACGAGCTTGGAGCCAGAGGAATATAATTTTAAATAATTATTTCACCGTAGTTTATTTTGAAACACACACCTTAAATTAACACGCACAGGCTGATCTGACTAACGCTCTACCGGATTTAATTGTTAGCCGTCCGTACACTCCTAATTTAGTATCTTTGGTATTCACCGACCTGAATAAAGTCGACGGTTTTATAAACGAGACGGCTTCAACGACTCAAGCAACAACAACAGCAACATTATCAGTGTGGTGCCTACAAAGAAGTAACTTCAATGATGACAACCGCCACAATTTCTTCGTCAACAATATCGGGGACAGCATGCGAAAACAAATGTAAACATTACATCAACGATAATTAACTATTACTATTTTGCACTGGCAACAGCATCAACATTAAAAACAACACCATCATTAACATCATCAACAACAACAACATCAACATTAACAGCAACATCCATAGCAACAACATCAACAACAACATCAACAACAACATTAACATCAACAACAACATCAGCAATGTTATCATCTAGCAGAGATGAATGATGCAGAGTTAATCCTGTGTACACAAAGTGATTGTGATGGACGGATGGATTGAAGAACAACTAAAAGAAGGAATAAACGTATGGAAGCGTTAGTCAGCAGGAGTGAATGAGTGATGAAGTTAGTGAATGAATGAACGAATGAACGAACGAACGAACGAACGAACGAATAAATGAATGAACAGCTACCGAATAAATTTGGAAAACTAATAAAAAACTCCGAAAAAATAAAAATTAATGAGTGATGGAAGAATAAACTAATGAAATAATGAATGGATGGATGGATGTGCGAACGAAAGGAAGAGTGAATGGATGAAATAAGGGATGAATAGATGGATGGATGAATTAGTGATTGAATTAATTAATTAATTATTAAAACAAAAACAAAATCTTAATTTGGCCAGAAAGGTAAATGACTGACGTTAAACATTTGCATGGGCAAGTTAATAAATGGATGGATAGATGGGTGGGCAACATAATAGATGGAACAATGAAATGAATGAATTAATAAATGAAAAAATTAATGAATGAATAAATAAATAAATAAATGAATGATTGATTGAATAAATGAATGAAAAACAACGAAAGAACAAAGTATGAACGGGTGAATGTATAAACAAACAAAAAGTAACGCATAAGCAAATAGGTAGATAATTTACAATTTTTGTTAATAGAAAATTTAATTCAGCAATAAACAATTAATTAATTTAATTAACCAAACCCTAGCAAAGACTAAAAGAGGTACTGAAAATTTTAAAGAAAATAAAGTCAAATAAATAAAAAACTTGTGAAAATGAATGCAAAAAATGAATACAAATAAAACGAATTAAAAACAAATAGAAAAAAATTAAGTAAAAAAAGCTACAAGTGACGTAATCATGTGACGTCATCGTCTGGCCATCCATCAATCAACCTTCGACCGGGCTAACCCCACATTAAGAAGTCTGCAGTCACGCCCCACCTACCTACATCGCCTACATACTACCTACTCACTCACTCACTCACTCACTCACTCACTCACTCACTCACTCACTCACTTTTCACTAAACTACATTTATGTATTAAATATGCATAGCTATAATGTATGTTTGTGTACATATTTGTGTGTGTGTATATATATATATATATGTGTGTGTGTGTGTGTGTGTGTGTGTGTATGTGCGTGCGTGTGTGTGTTATTGCGTTTCTAGTGTTTCGCTTTATTGAAAAAAAGTATTATGAATCACTAACACAACTACGAAAATACAAAACAAAAATAAATACATATACAATATATATATATATATATATATATATATATATTTATATACTGTATATGTGTGTATATATGTTGTATATATATATATATATATATATATATATATTATATATATATGTTAATATATAAAGCTACACAAACAAATATGTATGTTAATTATACATTGCGTGTTGGATTGTTATTTATTGTTACCATGCTTGGTTTGTATTTTTGGTGAATTGTTATGATATTGAATCGGTGAGGAGTTTCTAAACTTTGTAGAACCAAATACATGTTCGTTTTTCGATCAGAATTTTATTCGAAGTTCTCCTATATAATTGTTAAATGTTTTAAAATCAAAATGATGAACTTCTTTAGAGTTTCATATTATTTCTATTGTTTCAACGTTATTTTTAATTTCATCTATTTATTCTTTGTAGAAGTGGTTCCAATTAATTGCGAATTATTTTAAGTTTGAAAGGACGAAGAATATTCTTAGCCCTAACCTATTCGTGATTGTTTTCTAGACACCGCTGTATGTATGTACTCACTTTTTGTGTTCTATACAAATGAATAAAATCAAAAATAAAATTCA